AATGATGAAATAAATACCACATTTAGAAGGTGAGATTACCAAATTAGTGGGTAAGGGTAAAAGTGATAGTGACTAGAAGAATATCTGTTAATTTATGTCCGATTTTCATAGCGAGTATAATACTTGTATGGAACTAGTCAAACAGAACAACAAAGAACTATCCGAAACTGTTATACTTTTAAAGGCAATGAAGGTGTTGTTGAACAAAAATACGAGGAAGAAAATACAGTGGAAGCATAACAAAAAGAAAAGAACGTTTCCGTGCTTTGGTTTTACACGCCTACACTGTTGTAATCCGAGCTTTTTAATGCTTAATAATATGGTTAACGTACTATTAATTTTCCCCTATTTCAAAGCCTTGTACAAAGTTAATGAAGAACATTAGCGTTTGTGAACCAAAAGGAAGAAGGAAAAAGGAGCAAAATTCACGGCTGTTTGATACATCTCATCTAGGGTGCTGTTGTCCACCACTGCGGAATTCTCTTCTACAAATGCGTTGACTTCGTTCATATTCTTGAGTCTGAAGATGGACAAAGCGCTGGCATTCAACCTAGTGATCGGAGCCAGCAGGTTATACTTCTGCGTGGATGAAATACACGAGATAAGGCTTGTTCGTCGTAAGTGAAGGTTTGGTTTTTGGCAAGTGAAGGTTTGGGTTTTTGGATAGTCTGGGGATATTTTTCGTCTTGGTGGATGCTGCTCAAGCCAAAAAATCTGCTCTAACTGGAAATCTTTGTTTCATTTGCCTTGGAACCATGCAACACAGATTTGTTTTCGGCAGAAGCTGTGTGTGTGTGTGGCAAAAATTGAGCCAACGATTTCTCACGACTCTCTTCCTGCATTTCTCGTGCACATGTATGTATGTATGTACATGTATATGTATGTATATATGTATGTATGTTCCTATGTGTATATGTATATGCATATGTAAGTATGTATGTATGTATGTATGTATGTATGTATGTATGTATGTGTATAACACGCATCTATATATGTTATGTCTATGTGTGTGTATGTACATATGTATGTATGTATGTATGTATGTATGTATGTATGTATGTATATATATATATATAATACCGGCCTGGAGTTAAGAGGGGTTAGGATGGATGGGTCCACATGTAGTTCTCTTCGAGGTTTGTCTCGGGTCTGCCAGGGTTTTTTTCGCTGTGAGGTGGTGCTAAGCCGCCCTCTGAACCCTAAACCCACTATCTTAGCCCCAGACCCTAAACCCACAACCTCAGGCCTTCGTGACACCTTAAACCCCACCCTAAGCCCTAAAGCCACCATCCCACCCACGAAGCCTTAAAGCCTTCCACACAGCTCTAAGCCCTAAGCCGCAGCCCTGGGTCGCCCTAAACCAGAGTGGCGCCG